CCAATATCTTGCAAATGTGTCACTGTGATAAATCGAACGTGTGGAGGAATTTTTGCCCAAATTCACATGCGCTGCCACTGCTTGAAAAAGTTCTCAGGATCTCGAAAAAGAGAGACCCAACTTTATGTAAAATGTCATAAGCACCCATCGGATCGCATACTGGACCACAAAGGTCCCAAATTGAAGGTTACAAAAATCAGGAGGAAAAATTATGTTTTGGTCTACCTGATCCTTTCCACCAAAAGACGTTTTCAAACAATGTACACTTACAACCCCATTGCACTTAATTCACGTAGTTTCTTTCATAATGCTTGAACATTACACTTGCTTTTAAGTGTACGTTGGTGTTTAATTAATAAACAAAATTGTCCATTCTTGAAAGCTGCAATCTTGGCGAAATATTTCAGTGTTTTCTGGATTAACAAGGTCTTGAATGCCATTTCATTTCTTCCAAGTGATTTGTCGGGCTGCACCACTGCCAGGGCTGACACTTGTGATAGGTATACGTGTATGTTGTGACCGATTGGCTGGGGACGATTGAAATTTGCTGAAAAATTATATCTGACAAGATACAAGTCACAATGAGAGGCTGTTTGCCAACAGAATAGAGGGCTTTTTCGCATTATTTTGTACATTTGATCAACTAAGACATCACCATATCAAGTCATTTTTCGTATATAACACTTCTCTTTCAAGTTATCTGCAAAGTTTCAACCTGAAAGAACATGTACTTCAGGGGATATAGGGCTTTAAAGATTGCATCTTTAATGTCACATGCTGTCTCTTGATGACGTCATTGTCACATGAGGCCAATATTCCTTGAAAGCACTCCCTTTCCAAGATATCTGCAAGATTTGAACCCAATTGGATATGCATTTCAGGAGATATAGTAGTTTAACTAGTGCACCTTTAATGTCACGTGACTTTTCTCCTGATGACATCATCATCACATAAGGTCAATATTCCTCTAAAGCACTCCCTTTTCAAGATATCTGCAAGATTTGAACCCGATCGGACATGTACTTCAGGGGATATAGGGCCTTAAAATGTGCACCCTTAATGTCACGTGACTTGTCTGCTGATGACGTCATTATCCCATGAGGTAAAAATCCCTCTAAAGCACTCCCTTTTCAAGATATCTGCAAGATTTGAACCAAATTGGACATACACCTCAGGAGAGATAGTAGTTTAAATGATGCACCTTTAATGCCACAAGACTCGTCTGCTGGTCCCATTGTCATCACATGAGGTCAATTTGCATTTGTAAACCTTCCCTTCCTAACTACCTGCAAAGTTTCAATCCAATCAGATATGCACAATACAATAAACAATACTAAATATTATAATTATCGAGGAAAAGACACAAATTAGACATTTTAAACATTTATCCATTTTGGCGTTCCATACATTGCGATCTGCTCTCGGCGGCACATGCTCGGCATTTTGCCAAGTCCTGAGTATATGCACTACGCATTGTGCACCATCAATGTTACAGGCAGATATTGGGCGTCCATGCACACAGTAGCCAATGCATATGTACGGCTACGCAATTGGGATTTTAGAGTTGGCAATTTATATTGTAAGGGGGTTTTGTCGACGGCGCTTCATGTGTGTGAAAAAGTACACCAGTTATGCACTTCACGCAGCTGACTCCAATGTTTCAGCTGTCTTCTCATGCACACTTCACACTTGTATCTTGTACGGTTGGTTTTTTACCGAAATTTGAATAAAAGAAGTTTTTATTGTAACTTCCGGTCTGATGACGTCATCAGCCCAAACCTCACACACGTGTTGACGGGGTAAAGGTGATCATATACATCAATTTTCAGGCGATTCGGACAAACTTCGCCACAGATATCTATTCAAAATGCATTTTTCATAATTTTTAACCTGTCGCCAGAGGGCGCTCGACAATTAGGTGACGTCATCAGTAGATGATTTGAAGAACACTATACCCCAACAGACTAACATCTTGACAGCTATTACCACTTTTAAACAATACGACCACTTCCGTTTTCTACCGGAAGGAAGGGTATGTGATTTGACCCACACAAGATGAATTCAAGATCACATTTTATCCCGGCACTTGCTGCAAACAGAATGTTGCTGGAGGCCAGGGTCGATTTTATATGGATTTTTATAAATTTAACGGAATATTTAAATATTCAAAATTTAATAATAAATCACTCGATGACATCATAATTTCATAATTACTTATGTATTATCTTTGCTTTATGGTGAGTGCCTCATGTAACTTTGATGACAATCGAACATTGCTAAGTTACCAAAATAGTGCCTCGAAAATGTGTACAAAGTCAATGGGCTGAAATAAATATTGAAAAATGAATAATAAATCACTTGATGATGTCATCATGATGTCATGTTTCTAGGACCATCTATGCATAAAGGTTCTTCATTGGTATAAGTTTGATGAAGATCCACAGTTGCAAAAGCCTTAAAGTCGCGGCGACAAAAAACGTGTACAAAACCAATGGGTTTTTGTGCAGAAGAAGAAGAGGAAGAAGCAAAAGAAAAACAGAACAAAAAGCCAATTATATACCATATTGCAGGATCGTAATTCATGACACCCAGTACATGTTTACAGGTGTAAACATGATTATTGAAAAATGGTAATATCAACTTGAAAACAGCATTTGCTGGAGAAAGCGTGTGAGAAAACTTTGGGGAAAACAACGCAATGTATGCGGAAAATTTCCTGTTCCCTTCATCCCCTCAGGCCACAGCAGACCTAAGATAGGGGCCTTTCAATCAAAATTTAGTCAAACACATGAAAGGCAAAACGAATGCACTGGCATGGGGAAGGAAGAAAATGCACAAGCGTGAACTGCCGGGACTACAAGTGCACGTACTGACAAACGTGTGCCTGAATCACATGTACAAGTACTGTGGTTGTGTGCCTAAACAAACACAAGCACAGCACCCCAAAATCAATCTTGCAAAATGCACAAGAACGGGTACAAGTTTCGTTTTTGGACTCACAGATTTACTGGTCATTCAAGAATATGATGTTTTGGATCATATCTAACAATGCTGCATAACAGGTTTTGCACCAGACGGTTCTTCCATCCTTCCGATCACATGATCCTCTCTTCAGCGCAATCCACTGAATGATTCATCAAGTAGTTGGCTTTAACTGGTTCTGGGTATGTTATTGGTACATTTCCAGTGATGAGTACGAGTATACTATGCCATTGTGATTAAAACAGTAAAGGGAAACGTGGTCAAAAGGTTGTGCGTGCGAGCGGCTGTATCTCATGCAATGTCATTCATGTAATTTCCTTCGTAACGTTGGGGGTAATGCCGATACCAAACAGCAACTGGTAAGCGCCACCGAGCGGACAAAACTGAGGTTTATATTTTAGTACCATTTTCCTAGAACTTTCTACACACTGTTGGGCTTTTTGATGCAGTTATTTGGGAAGTGCTGAATATGATGGACTTTTTTGATGCAGGGCCTAAATTTCATGAAAACCTTTAGCAGCCTTACGCCCAAGACGATACAGTACTGCTGTAGCTCCTGCCTGGATCTAACTCATCGGAGTTTCCACTTCCTAGGACTTTGGACTCACTGAAATCGCCACTTAGCCATGCAATTAAGATTGACAAGCAAGTGTACAACACCTTTTATGAGGGATTAGGCCCACAAAACCCGTGAACTGCTCAACGAATTAAGTCAACTGCAAAGTTAATGAGCTGGGCTTCTCGGGAGGCCTCACTGTGTTTTCACAGTGTTTTTACTGAAGCCCAGTGTGTCCTCACCGGGTCATGCAGAGGAGTATTTCACGGTGATTTCACCAGATAATCTGCCCTGACATTGCCGTGAAAACAAGTTTCACGGTAAATTCATTGCAAATTATGTATTCACTCCAAATTCAACGGTGTTGAGATTCATAGTGTATGGGGAGTGTACGGTTGACCGTTCAATGTAACACTGAGGGTGAACACCTGCAGAATGCACACTCAGAAAAAGAGAAAAGGCACCAAAAAACAAGAAAATAGCACTCTTACCAACAAAATTAAAATCACACGAGGTAAAAGTTTATTCAGGAAATACGACCGAATGATTCAAGTTGACACAGAATCGTGTAGTGAAAACGGAACTCGAAAAACTTGAAATGTTTAAAAGATATGTCACTTGCAATACAGCGCTGAGAAAAGAAAGAAGAACATGGCAGCATGGCCGAAGTGCAAAGTGGAAGGTCAAGGGGCTCCTAGGATGATCAAGTCTTTTCAGCGAATAACTATACATGCATGGGAAATTTGCATATGTTGTGACTGTTTGGGTAGGTAGAGCACCGTAGACTGCAAGTTTGCTAAGGGACCAAACAGCCCTTTTGAAAATCTGTGTACAAAGTCAATGGATTAAAATAATAAATATTTAAAATTTAACAATAAATCACATGGTGATGTCATCATGGCATCACTGTTAGCAAGACACCTTTGCCATATGGTCTTTAATTACGCAAAGTTTCTATGTCATATGATTTTGTTTAATGCCTAAAATGCTGATGAGAAAAAGCATGCACAAAGTCCGTGGGATTTTGGATAGAATACCCAAATAAAAAAATATCCAAAAAAATAAATAAATAGATAAGAAAACAAAGGCTTTTTCTGCACTAAGCAGAAAAGTCAATCAATAAATCAAGTGGACTCAGCGTAGTAGACAATTGCGTGGAGGCTAAAAGGATGCAAACTTGGAGAAGGTTTATGGGTGTTAGCATCCCTTCAGCTCACAGGATTTTTCATTTTCTTTTAGCTTAATACCACACAGTGACTGCTGACTCCATGGGGCAAAAAGCACATCTACACGTACATAAATATTCAGCTTTTCACAAGGCTTCATGTGTTACCAAATAGAGTATTTAATTTTAGTTTAAAATATCCTTTACAAGTTGAAATTACGCACTTTAATACGAAAAGACTTTATTTTCCTTTCAAGAAATCCAACATCCCTGGTACAATGTGTGGATGGAACGTACCTCATTAAGGCAAGGACATTATCCAGTAACGGCAATACAAAGAGAAAACATGGATCATGATACACGATGGCACTACTACAGGATGCAGATACATCATCTCCAAGCACTTCCTGGAAGACAAAACAAACTGACTGTAAGTTTGCAGTATATTTGTAGAGTGTATGAATTACAAAAAGATAAGAGCATAAAAGGTACTTGATCTAATTAATTTATTTTCTTTTCACTCATAAACAGTCACTTTTGTTTCCTGTTACTGAGGGAAAGACACAGATGCACTGAATTTATGGAGCACATAAAGCAATCTTGAGTGCAAAGGTAAAATTACAAAATAAATTACAATGCCAGATTGGGGAAATGAAAATGCTGTCTTCACGATATACAGACGTAATGTCTGAACTACTGCAGATCACTTCCATATTCATCAGAAAATCCAAAGTGGAAGTGCTCTCAAATAGTAAATCATTGTGTTCCACTATTGGAAATTTTTGAGCATACAGGTACATTAAAAAGGAACTACGCTTGCACTTCCAGATAAAATGTTACTTACATGTATGCATTACAAAAATATTTCTTCTGTACTGTTAAGGCATGGCAAAGGGAAAAGCCTGATATAAGATTGCCCAAATGTCATTAAGTGCAGGTAAAGTCTAACACTGTATGGCAAACAGTCCATGAGCTTCTGTGATGGAGGGGCACCACAGAAGAGATTCAAGAATTCTTTCTCAAGAACCTCACTTCCAGCTGGAGTGACTACTGGCAACGGACATTACAAGTTGCTTGAGGCCTGGTGCAAACAATCCATTAAGCCACCTCTCTTTTTGAAATCAATTGCATGACCAACATACAAAAGAAAAGGCAGAAATGGAATAATTCATCCCCACCTAATGTCGGTTGAGTCTACTACTGCATCCCTACCAGATTACCAATGTCTATGCATTACTTTGTAGTCCATTATTTCCATTCGCTAAATTCTCACTCACCAATGGTGCACCCCCACTCACTCATCCCCCAGGGCTTATTCCCTTTCAACCGGTACCTTCAAAGTAATGGAGTCACAGATTTGGGACAGAAGCCAACATTTAAAGGGCATTTCCAGTTTTTCTTCATTTCTTCAGTCTTTCATTTGGCTAGTCCATGTTTGCTTTGCTTTATGACAGCCAAGGGGCTAATTCCCCTTTCAACCAGTACCCTCAAAGTAATGGAGTCTAAGATTTTAAAGAGACGCCAACATTTAAGAGGACATTTCCCAGGTTTGCTGGGATTTCCCCTGACTTTTTCCTGCTCCAGTCTTTGCTTTGGCAAGCTCATCTTTGCTTTTCTTTATTATAGCCAAGGAGCTTATTCCCCTTTTCCTTATGCTCCCAGCTTTTTCGGAAGCCAAACTTTGTTTGCTCTCCCTCTTGGGCTAATGAGTGCTCATTCACCCCTCACCTTCTCCTGCCTTTTCGCTGAGCTAATCTTTGATTACTCTCATAGCCAGAGGGCTCCTTGCCCTTCAATATAATTATACACATTAATATATATTTTCTATTTCTATAGTATTTGTTACTGTTTAAGACTCCCTTTTTTGGGAGGGGGGTTGTTAAAAACTCTTTCAAAGGCATAAAGCTGAAATGGTTGGCTATGATATAGGTCAATTACCATCCCCGACCATGATCATTGGGGCCCTGATTGGCTTTCATTGCATCTATGCCTGGTCGACCAGTCCCTTGTATTCCTTGTACACATTCCATAATGGCACAATCAGTGTGATGTCAACTTTTCCCTTTTTGTTTTTACACAGAACCCATCCTAGGTGATTGAGAAAGAAAGGGTTTTGGTGTTTTGCAATCAAATATTAGCCACAAATCCCTAACAACACCAACAAATAAAAGGATGTCAGGACCAAGAGTAAGGCTTTAATTTGTGTCCCCAACATCATATTCAATGAAACCACATTTCTCTTCTGAATTTGCCCCCGACACCCGAAACTGGATCCGCCCCTTAAGCCCACTTCTTGCAGAGACATTGACTTTCACTTCTTCCTTTCGGGCTTATTCCTTGAATCTTGTCAAAAGACATCTTTATGTATATCGCAACTGGCGTATCCATTGCTCTGGATGCCAAACAGACCTTTGCTTTATTTATGAATCTTAGCTACACTTTTTTGTGGGTAGCCAAAAGAACAAATATCTTCTTCCACGCTGTAAAAAAAATGTGATTGCCTCAATCCCCCTTTTTTCATTGTTGAAATGAGAAGTATTGTCAAAATGTTTTCTTCTTCCTCCACTTCTTTCCTAATCTTATTTTAAACATTTTCCATTATTTTTATTATCGTATTTTAATTCCAAATATATGCGTTTGTGATCCGTCATTGCTTCACTATGTATAGTACAAAAATATCTACTCTGTGACGTTGCCAAAAAACAGGTTTCTAGAGGCAATCGCTTGCAAAGCTCCTTGTAACTGCCAGGTCAAAACTAAAACTTTGTAAATTGGGCGAATTGCATGTCTAATGTACCTGTAGTCATTCTTCTTTGAATATCGAGGGGCCGGTCAGGTCATGTAGGCGTATTGCCCTCAGTTTGCTATTGAGGCGTACTACGCAAACTCGCTTCATATCTTCTAAGTTTCTCCTGACCTCATTTTGTCGCCAAATAACTGCTCACTGTGAGCTACCTTATGATATCCCCATTATCATAGCTTCTTAATCAAACTATTCTAAAATGGCATCTTGACCAGAACATTTGCAACCAAGGCTAATCCAATCCATCGTATTTCTCAGTGTCGGCTCACACTAAGAACCACTGTGCATAACACTGTACATAAGCACTTAAAGGCTGTCTACCACCAACGCAGGGCTAGTAATTTCTTGAAAATGACCTTGCACTTGTGTATTGTCGGGTATTTAACCTAGGGGCCTGTCTATCCATTTAGTAATTCCCATTTCTCATATATCCACCATATTGTTCTGTCGTGACACCATAAAACACTAATCCACATGTGAGTCAGTGTTTTCATAAGATTTTGCAAGTGTAACAAACCGGTGACCATCTTCATTAAAGTATTGCACTGAGGCTTTCCCAAAGGTCTACATGGACGTCTTCCCGCTCCAATGAGCCCCAAACTGATCGTCATAAAATGGCATATACGGCAATTGAACCCTGCTAACACCAATGTCCCTGAAGTCTGAACGGCCTTAGCAAACTGAGGAATTTATTGCGCATTTGAGTTTAAGCAAAAGTTATATAGTTGTTTAAGAAGCCCTAGTAAGGCTGCAAGCACGTGTGTGCCACAAATCAATTGAACAACGTAACAACTTTTTGTCCTACAGTGTATAGATTTTCCAATCCTTGGTCAAAGCAAGGGACAAACCAAAGGATTACGCAATCTCCTATCGTGATTGTGACTCAGAAAAGCACTTGCCATAGATCAAACAATGAATTCAATGCAAAATAATACCTAAGAAATGCACACTATAACGCTGGCTGAACTAGCTACTCTACCTACGCAAATGCACTATTCTAATGCAAGCAAATGGTTGAAATGTTCCTTCACTGAGCCTGTAAAGACTGCAAACCCTAGCCCTTTAGGTCTACATTCAGTGTTTGTAATTGTGTCAGCAGCAAAAGCCAAATATGCCCTCCAAAATAAAGGCATTCCACCAGAGACCTTATTTGCCCTGAACTTTTCCTGCAATTTCCCTAAATCCATGCATCTTGGATTAGAGGAGCACCGTCAGGGTAATCCTGGACGGTTCCTTCACTTCGTGTGATATTTTATACATAACATGAATTATTCTCACATAGCGTGAATCATCTTTACATAACTAGTCATTAACCACTTCGTGCCGGGGCATTTTTCATTGTTGATGATGCTGGGCCGGCATGACTATAATTTTTTCCATTTTCAAAATCCTTCAAAAATTCATCATTTCATTTAATGGTCGTTTATAGCCGCACAAAGTAATCTTTAGGCACTACTCTAAGTTGTNCCTTCATTGACGCCCGAATATTTCAGCCAGGCCTGCAGCCTTGTAAACAGAGCCCAGATTGTGCGGTGTTATATAACTGTCTTTTGTTCACGAACCTGGCTCAGTGCACTGCTGACCTCTTTTCAATAGGGGCCAAATTAGCATGCAGCTGTGCTGTGTGGCTCATCGCTGCGGTGGTGGAGCACTTTTGTCCCCGGTGGTAATCCATTCGCTCTCAATACCCCAAACCCTGGTATACTGTTTCAAAACAAGGCTGGATTATTTCCACTATTGAGAGAGAAAAAATGCTGGTAAATCCCAGCAGCCTGGTCTTTTGTTACCAGTACAGTCTTCTGTTACAACACCCAGTCCCCTTTGTCGGACTTCGGAGACCCCGGCAACGTGTATAGAGAATACATGTCCAGTACTAGCAACCCTGACGGCAAGTGTTTCAAAATTAACAGGTCAAATATGCAAACAAAATATTAGAAGACATTATTGAACATTTTTCTTGTTCATGTTAAATCATCAATTGCAGAGTGAAATTTCTCGTGCGGGAACAGCGTCATGATGTCAAAGGTCATGCAGTACCCCGTTCTCCAATACTCTACTTCGTTTCCATTTAAGGCTTCGTTTCTGAAGCCAAGCCCTGATTGTGTGCCTGAAGTGCCGAAATAAAATCAAAGTAATGTTATGTTTGACTCTTTTGAATCTTATTTGCTATTTTGTGTCACTAAATGCAATTATAATTTCAAGTCATGTAGGAAAAATAGTTGAAGCCTCATATACAGTTCCGCCGTTGAGTATATGTACATGTATTTGAAACAGTAAGTACCGCTGGCGTGTCGTGCTGTATATACCAAGCTGAAATAAGTGATCGTGCTGATTGGGTGGGCTCGTGTACGTACATGTACACTACAAGTACACAAACATTGTACGCTGAACTCCATGGTTGAATCACTGGGCCTTGGTGGACCAGGCAGCACTACCGTGGCACAGGTGGCCATGGACATGTTGCATGCGAACCTTCCGGATTTTATTCTCCATCTGAGCCAGCTTTCAGCGTGCAACCGGTGATTATGTTGAACTTTACTTTAAAAGCTTACTTTTGTTGAATTTTCATATTTTACATTTGAATGAGAATACTTCTGAAAAATCAACAGTTCACAGGATCCAAAAAAATCATATACAGCCCATGACCCCCTCTCCCTTCATACACTTTGTACGATCATGAAAATGTTGAAAACTTTGGATGACCCCTTACTGCATGTTTAAGACTTCATTGGTTGTTTTCCTGCACAATGTAAGACTAAGATTTACTTCAGTTCTAGATATCTGCATTTCAAAATGATGTAGATTTGTAAATATTATTCAATGGGAACATTTTCATTTAATATGGTACTTGGGGTAACTTGCACATGTTGAAATACAAATGTTCGCATGTAAATCAAACTGAAATTCAACCTTTGGCTGCAAAAGTTTGGTTAATAAACCATAAAATAAATAATAATAAATAAGTATAAGACTACACTGTAAAATATTATCCTAATCTGCCCATAATGCATAAATTTTAATGGCCTAATAATATAATACTAAATTTTGTTATTTTCTAAGGAATACAGGACTGTTTTCAGAGGAAATAGGTTGAGAGTGCATGGACTATACTGGCAAAACTGTATTTTGTAACGTAACAAAATCTCTAGATAGTTCTCATCTTATTAAAAAAGGGGCAGAAAACAACAAAATATACAAAATACGAGATATGAAATACACTGTAGGAGAGTAAGCACTTTACCAATAGATAAGAAATCACTCTTTTTTCGTAAACAGAAACCAAGTCAATTCACAAACATGAACTCGAAACTCTGAAAATGCCATAAAAGAAACGCCAGTAAACGATAGGCACTGAGAAAAGAAGGATGAACATGGTGGCGGGATCCCAGTGCATTGTGGAGGGTCAAGGGGCAGAATGCATAATCAAGTCTTGTCAACAAATTGCCTGGTCTCTGGTCAGCGTGTGCATTGATTTTGAACATGCCCGTCAATGTGTTTTTTCCGTTTCTTTTCTCAAAATTTTCAAAACACTGCCCTCTATTTCCACATTGCCTGAATGTTTGCTAGTAGACTGATTCCTGGTCACAAGTCCATAAGTTGGAAAGGCAATTTGTTCAAGGAACCAGACTAATTCGTCGGTAGCTCATACCCGATGATATGTTATTACTGCGGAATGTTGATGTCGAACACAAACATTAGACCATGGATAGGTTACAAAGATGCAGCCAGCTGATCAACAATGACGGCGGCATGAAGTGTGACGTGCTGCCATTGATATCCATATCCATTGGATATCAATGCACGCTGCTAATAGCCTTTGCTCTTTGATTGAATATGCCATTGCCAGTCTTAAAAGCCAACCCGTCCCCCCCCAAAAAAAATGCACCGCCGCATCAATTCTGGAAATTTGGTCTGACCAGAGACCAAGTATTTTGGGGGGGGGCCCTGATAGGCTGGGCAGGGGTATGTGAACATAGAAGACTCCCAAGGCACCTCTATAGTTGCCACCAGAAGCATATTAGAGGTGATTGCAGCAGTTCAGTCTACCCTGGCAGAGGCTACTCTGTTGGTTTGCCCTCAACCCACTGTGCCTCATGGCTGATGCATCAGATGTTGCTGTTGGCAGCTTACTCCAACAAGCGATCCATGGGAATGGAAACCCATGGCATATTTCTCAAAGAAACTGCAGCCAGCAGAAACAAAGTACAGTACATTGGGAAGAGATTTGCTGGTGGCATATCTCGCCATCCGGCACTTTCACTATGTCGGTGAGGGCAGAACATTCTTCATACTGACTGACCATAAACCGTTAACTCATGCATTCCAACCCGACACCTTGATTTCATATCGCAGTTTACCATCGACATCAAACACGTTAACCACTTGCTGCTGGGTGCTTTGAAAAATGCAGTGCACACATACGGATCATTTTCTAGATTTTCGGTTTTCAAAATTCTTCAAAAATTTGTCATTTCATTTAACGGACGTTTAAACACAAAAGGAAGGACTCTTTGGGCACTAGTCTAAGTTGACAGGTAGCCTTCATTGAAACGCGAGTATTTCAGTCAGGCCCGCAGCCTTGTAAAAAGAGCCCAGATTGTGCAGTGTTATGTAAGATTCTTTTGTTCCTGAAACTGGGAATGGTGCACTGCTGACCTCTGTTCAATAGGGGCCAGATTAGCATGGAGAGCTTTTGTCCCCGTTAATAATCCGCTCGTTCTAAATGCCCCAAACCGTAGTATACGGTTTCAAAACAAGGCTGGATTATCTCCACTATTGCGAGTGAAAAAATGTCGGTAATGCCTAGCAGCCTAGTCTTTTGTGCCAAGCACGGTCTTTTGTTACAAGGCCCGACTCTTTTGTCCGGTTTTGGGCCCCCCGGCTTCTTGTATAAAGCCTATGTACTCGAAAACGGGTCGCCCGGCAGAAAGTGGTTCAGGGACCTGACAACGTAATAACGCGCTGTTCCACATTAACATGACATCACAACCATCACCTGTGACCATCATCAATTTTGAAGCAATAGCCGTTCAACAGCTCAAAGATGAGGACTCAACTGCTCCGTCTTGCAGTTTTATTTCCAGAATTACAACTTACAAATATAAAGGTCTGTATTCCAGTTGTTACCTTTAACTATTTATCTATTATATATATAGTGATTTCGACGATACAGCAGGGAGTTTTACAGTTTAATTACTGGGAGAAGGTACACCTGGAAGCTAGGAGATCGGGTTTACTTCCCCAAGTTGGAAGGTCTTGAATGCACAGCTGTTGAGTTTGTAGTTGATGACAGTAGGGACAGACATGGGGATGTAAGCAAATTGGACCAGAGTGTCTTGCCGAATTGACTGTAGGTGGAAATTGTTAGTCATCTGCTCTCTTCTCGGACCCTTGAGGTGACATCATCACAAATGTAAATAGTGGGGCCCTTGAAAGGGTTGTTTTTCAGGAGATGAGCAGCGTTTTTGAGGATGAAGCTTCTGTCTGTGTACCTGAGTTGGTTACTGGACCTGGTGCTGAGTGATCGGCATCCTGGGGTGCAGTGTGCTCGTTCAGTTTTGATCTCAGAGCCGTCCTACTGCTTCATGACGAGTCAGGAAATCCCTGATGAATTCTTCACAGGATTGGTTTGTCTCAGAGCCCTCAGGACATCAGATTTAGTTCACAAAACAGGTGCTATTTTGCACACATTAGTTCCTGCATCAAAACTCTCTACAGCCTTCAAATTACTGTATCACCAAGCCACAAAGCGTTTGTGACTGTAACAAAAAATACTATACTGTAGTTGAGGATGCTGCACTGCTTTTTTCTCTGTGCAATAATTTTTCACATCATTTTAAGACCTTCAAATGTATCAACTAGAAACCTAGCATGAATGTCAGTCCTGATCCTAGGGTGTGCACATTATTCTGTCATCAGGATGATGTTGTCTCTCAAGTTTTATTTTTTTCGTCATCGGCCTTTTCTTTTTATGCTCTACGATCTGGTTTTTGTGAACAACTTTATTCCCATTTTTCAAAGCAACAATGTTTGAAAAGAGGGTGACTTGAGTTCTTAGGGAATGCAATTTGATGAGTTGGTTTTAAATTAGTCCAGCTTGAGAGATGATAACACATACATGTAGATCCAAAGCCCTTATCTCTGCCACCTTTTGGGGACAAATTCTTAACAAAAAAAATAAAAATTCATGCTTTTCCAATGATTTCTATTCACCAGTTTTGTGTCATATACCTGCCTCACACACACAGTGCACAAATTTCTTTACATGGGAATTGCCGTGCGCAGCACACACAGCATGGTGTGATTCAGAATGTATCTTAGCTGACGTAGAGTGAACCAACGCATCTGCACATGCATGTGTATGTGATGAGAACTCTTTGGTTGCATTGCACTTGCCTGTGCAATGATGATTGTCATGTGTAAGGGAAACAATCCATAAAATAGGAGCTAAAACTTCATGTGAAACAGTGAACAGGTTCAAACCAGTTGGTATCTTTACCAGCTATTAAAAACCAACGACATAATGAGCTCTCAACCAATAGTGATTGGTAGACAGAGGTTTTTATGATTACTTAAAAATGTGGACAGCTATTGTTTTTCAGGTGCACTTTTACCACAGGGTTGTGCAGAAATAAATTGCTTCTCGGTGGCATATCCAGGTTTTGGGTCAAGGGGTGATTAGGCAAGGGGGTGGTCCAAAAGAATTCTTTTCTGAAAAGAATATCCACATTTTTTAATCCGTTGCAGAATCATCCCCTCTCTCCTGCAAACGGGTGCTAATAGTTTTTTGTCAATTGTTTGCAATGCTGCAGGGTACCCTGATACACCGACCATCCCTCAACCAACCCCAGCCAATACCAGAGTCAGGGCATGCAAATGATTTTTGGTGTTCCAAATACTGAAATGTAGTTTGTAAAGGTTGACATCTCTGCTACTACCATGACTACATATCTCAGCTATTGCCAGTATTCACTACAAGGTCAGTCAAGTCCAGGGTGAGTATTTTGGAGTTGGATGTAAATTAGGGGAAAATTGTCAGACATTCAGGCGAGTGCAATGGGTATAACAGATATTGGGTCTTTCTGGGTTAAGACAGCAAAATCCTGTCTTTTAGGTCACAACACTCAATTCCTTAACCCTAACACTCCCAAATCCTCCAATTGTAATACAATTTTACATACACCCTAGGGGGTAAGGGTTAAAGCGCATTAAAAGACAGACAAGGTATTCCGGGCAGTTTCTTTTACATCTTCTTACCTGTGAATTATGTGACCATTTAGTCCTTTTCATTACAGCCATCATTGTAGCCAAGCATGCCAATATAGTTGCCCTGTTTGCTCCTTGTTTATCGTCCAGTGAACATGGAAGAGTTTTGCACAGCCCAATGTGCTCTAGAAACCTTTCTTCATTCCCCAGAACTCTAGAAAAGCAAGCCAACATAAAATCCAAAGGTGTGCCATGGCAAAAAGGAAACTCAGTCCCCCCCACTACCCAAGGATCAGCGAGGCACAGTGATGTCTGATCATATAGTTAAAAACTGTAATTAAGTGATATACATGTACATGTGTTAATATTGACCAAATTTCTACTTTTTCACTGACCCAAATATGACAAAGTAAACTAGTAATACGAAGGTTTAGAATTGAATGCAGAGATTTCTTTCCATCAATGGACTGCCCTTTTAATGGTTTAATCATTGTTGTAAGCACCATGTCATTTATCTACTCAGAAAATAACTTTTGGACCATTTTTAAATGAATGAGAGACTTTTCTTACTCTTTCATAGGATCTGCCATCCACACAATTCTGACTGGTTCCATAATCTCCTGTATCAGAGCACTCTGCTTTTCTAGATGTTTAAATTTGTTGCTCAGCAAAATAAGTACTTCATTCAGAGTACTTTTCTCCAACTGCGTCAGTTGGTCCTGATCTTCATTCAAAAGCTTGATACGGCCATAGAGTTGATCAAAGAAATGCTAAATGGAAAATAGAAAACACCTGCATTAATATTCAACAGCAAAGTTGGCAAGGAAGAATATATATACCAAAAAGCTTCACTGGAAATTAAATTGACATGAACCCCAATAGTTTCACAAATTCCAACAGAAAAAAAAGATCAAGCTGTATTAATGTGAAGACTACTCTGAGCATGCAAGCACTGTTCATTCAGGGGGTCTCAGAAAGAGTCTATTAAAGCAGTGTGCAAGATACTGCTCAGAAAACATACCAAGAAGGGTCAGTCACTACGAATAACATCTGAAACAATGATTCTACCATTACTGGGTATTCTCTTTGAAGGTATTCTCCTGCTTGGGCTGCTAAATCTGAATAGCTGTATTTGAGCATGCTATTCATGTCAACACAAGTACACTCCAGAGTGCAAAAATGGAAGGAGTCTTGCATTGTGAGAGTATTTGAAAATGGTAGTAATGTAAACGTTTTCTAGGTAAAGGAAGCTTATGAGATGTGGTTTGGATAACTTTGCAAATTTTGAGGTTGCCACGTTTTTTTTCAACAACAGAATGTGCAATAAATATGCAGTTTGAAATTATTACAGTTATCTTTGAACAACTAACACATTTGTACTTTTGTGAAATCATGCTGATTCACTTTTGAAACATGTTTCCACATCAAATAAGTTTTGCAGTATTTACTGTGTACAATCTCAGACATCTCCAAGAATCACTTCCAAACAAAAACACCAAAAACTTTTCATCAAACATCTGTTATACTTTTATTGTTACCGTCGAAGCGCTACATGTTCATCTTCATACACTTGGAGGATTCAGGACTGAAAGTGTAGTGGCTATTGTAACAACATCCGTAACAGAACTGCAAATTTGCAGGTGCATTAGCACTACTGGCTGCTGTACCCAATTCATTCCAGAGGGCTGCAAACTGAAGATGTGGCCATGTGAAAGTCAGTGGTATAATAAAAAAAACATTAAAATGATACATCATTTGTATGCTACATATCAGCACCCTGAAATTACAAATCAACTGAATCAACTGCTTTGGAAAAGGGCAAATTAATGTTAATGATTGGAATGCGTCCGACATTTAAATGTCCATGAATTAGTCTGAGAATATTTGCCTCCCCTTCCACTTGATTTATTTTAATAATACAAATATTCTTAACCACTTGCCGCCGGGGGCTCCGGTAACAGAAACATAGGCCTTATATTTGTGGCCGGGGTTTCTGAAATCCGATCTTTATTAAAAAAAAAATTGCTGGAGGTTTTTTAAAAAGTTCATTGCTGTCAGTTAAAACTTTAGGCGATCATCGGTGGTAAATAAATTGCTCATAGGCAATAATCGGTTCCTGGGGCTGAAGAATTGGGACTTTATTTTATAGCCAGGGTGACCGAACTCAGCAGTCGCGATTTGTTTTGACCACTTCACAACCAGAGGTTCAACATCGTTGGCACCGTAATGGCTAACAGAAAAGGCATATCGAAAGACCTACAATCTGTCAAGCTGAAGCGGGGTGAAATAACATTCCAGTCAGCCGACCTGGGCGTCAACAGTTCTCTCCTAGCCATGATGTGGCGAGACAAGTGCAACATCCGTATGCTCTCCGCCATGCATATGACACACATGGCTCCGGCAAGCAAGACAGGACGGGTATTTGCACACAAATATAAGGTACATGCAAGAAATCCAAAAAAGAACTCAAAAAGGGCATTTTTCCCTAGAGATTTCATATTATCACAGGCAAACATGAACATGCTTCAAAATAAGACTTTTTGTGTAAGACTGCATTCACTTTATTTCTGAACTATGGAGGGCCTGGCATTTTGATCCTAGCACAGTCTTTCTCAAAGGCAAAATGACCATCATTCCAAGTAAAGCTTGAATGATTTTGAGGGCAAATTGATTGAATACCCGAAAATGCATCAAAAGCAATTTTAAAGTTAAAACTGCACATACTGCAAGGTTGGGTCATACTCCTTCGGTCTTCAATGTACATGTACGTGTACTTTCAACTCTTACCGACATTAATATGTGTACATTTGAGTACATATAGGTGTGGAAGTAAATTCATTGCCAAAGCTGATTAATCTGAATGAACTCTACAACTTCATAGTGCATTAAGAATCAATTATTACTTTACTGTGGTGGCCCCAACATCATTCTAATTTGTTCCCTAATACCATATTGTATCTCTTTTTATTAGCTGTCCTGGAGACCCAAAGAGTCTACAATGCAACGGCTCTGGTACTGGTCTACTTGCAGCAAACAAGTCAATTCACCTGAACAGACACAAGTGATGCTGTTCCTGGGCACAATTCAGGTGAACATCAAGTGTCATTGCTAAGATGAAGATTGTGAGGGGGGTAAAATGGGACAGATAAATTCCCCTGTAACATACATGTACCTACTTGCAGTCCCCGCCAGATTTGTGGGCTAACTGCATCACCATGGACTCACCTTCAATACAGACCTAAAAACCTTCAGGTTCATGTTTGCCACATTTGTCTGAAACAGGCTGTATTTATAATGCTTGCAGTCACAAATAGGAATAGGAAAATGAAAAATCCATGGTACACTCCAGAAAAAAGTGCAAAGAATGTTGCTTTTTGAGCAGATTTCATGTATGTCACAATGTCAGTATTTAAATATGTTTCATACACATTGTAACAGTTTTGAGCACGTTATGTGGTTGGTGATTGCAGTGAAGTCCCACTGAACATTCCCCTGTGTAGGAGCCACATATCTACTGTACATGCTGTACAAGGTATGTTCATGTACAAAATGTGCTGCTTGTAAGATGAAATTTCAGTACACCCAAAGAAGACACTCTTGCATTAATCTGGACATCAAAAATGCTTATGTACAACTAGGTTTGGATAAGGAAGTGGCAAGCATTACAAGGTACAGCTTTTTCTGTTATACATGTTACACAATTGGAAAAATTCCATCAAAATATTCCTTACGTGACGTAGATTTCACTTTGGAAAATAAAAGCATGGACGACATTTTATATAGTGGGGCTGCTTTCATAAAAATTTGCACGGATATTTGCAACCTCTGCCACACTGATGGAGCCTTCCTCGACATTTATGAAGATAAATGCATATGCGAACTCAAGAACTGGCAGGCAAAGACAGTTTTGAAACATAAAAAGTCTAGTAGATGGCTGCTGTCAGGGTTACTGGAAAAGTTTGAGGATGTAATAGAATTGCATGAGATGTCCGCATCTAGATTTGGAATTTTGTTTACAAGAATGCCGAATTACAAAAATGGCCTTCACTTGTCATGCTCTAGGGTTAAGGTTTCAGAAGAAAAATGGGATGAACAATCCAACAATAGTGATACAGCATTTATGCCTCTGTCAAGTGAACAGGTTAGTTCAGTAGCTGGTTGTGTTTTTTGACAAATAAATGAGAATCTGAAAAAAACAGACAAAAGAAATAACCAAACACTTTACCCAGAGTTAACTGAAGTGGCATCTTTTACATTCGAGTCATTGTTGGAGATGCTTGATCCACTGGTATGGAATAGCTTATCCATCTTTACAGCCACTGTGGATGAACTTAAGCATGTTGATAGTATTGCTGTGTTGTGGGATAAAGGTAAACTGATGTTTCCTACCTACTCCAAACAGTCTGGCACACAGCGTAGAAACCGTCAAATCATTCTGACCATGTTAATGCAGTTCATCTTGAATGAAGCTAACCATGTTCCTTTGCACACTGTTTTTGCAAACTGCATCAAGCACTTGTCATACTCTTCCAAACTGTTGAAATTGTTTAACCATCTTTAACCATCTTGTTTAACTTTCTTTCAGAGTTCTTAAAATTGACAACATTAATGTGCTTTCTAGTTATGCTGCTGTTAGTTCTGATGAGAGGAAGGAGTTGGCACGTCAATAATGGCACAGCAGCCTAAATCAATAACAGAAAACTGTGTGTCAAGGTGAACTTGTTGCTAGAACTGTAACTATGGCAACAGTTCCAAATTTTCATATTGTTCCAATTTATGGAGATGTTGCCTTTTCAGGTGCATTGCAGCATACATTAATCATGATTTTTGCACTGTGACAGGGACGTCTATAATACTTCAACTGCTTTAGGCCTATTCAAGATTGAAAAGCAGTGAGCAGACTAACTCAGATTTGCTGCATGTGATGTTCTTGAACAAAATATCCACTTCCTAGACACACTTCCAGAGATAGGGTTGAACAGTTTCTCTTCAAATCAACTCATGACAAGTTCTACCTACCATTTACAAAGTGTGTTAATAAAGAGAGAAAACAAAGGATGTATGGTGGCTGTTTGGAAAATTTGTGTTCTTGCCACAATTGTCAAAATAGCTATTCACATTTATCAAAGTACCGATGTCAGTTTGAAACTAGTAACACAATATCCCTGTAAGCATCAGTCTACCTATCACATGTTTGGTGTACCATCCTGCCACGATATTTAACGCCGGCCATTTTGACCTGTTGCATTGTAGTACTTGTAGGCCAACTTGCCAATTAGTGATTGGAAGTGCATAGCACTTCTCCTGTGCAGCTAAGCTGGCAGATTGCTGTGGAATTTGAACCGATGATTGAAATCCCTGACCTGTTTCTGCATTTATTCCAGCTGCAGTAGATGGAAGTACAAATATTCCAATTGCTGAGGAAATCTCTACTGCTAGTCATTCAAGGGAGGGCACAGCACCTCCATCAAAGAAAACGGCTGAGATGGGCACTAAAAATCAAGTGTGAGAAAAAAATTGCAAAGTTGGACCTCCCTTTACCTGCAGCCACTTCATTTCCAGTGGCACATTACAAACTTTCATTCCTTGGCAGCATCATTTGGAACATTTTTCTGCTACAGAAGAAAAAGTGGAGGAAGGGAAACTTCTTGATGAATTTCTTGTTGAAAGACATGTTTCAGTTTTAGGACAAACACAGTGTGATATTCTTGGTTTGAAGTTTTGACATTGCATGCCAAAAATAAATGTGAGAAGTCTAATTTCATACCTG